CTTCAGAACTTTTCAGTCAACTCTCGTACATGTAAAGAAACAATACAGTTATTAATAAGAAGAGTCGAAATGAATGCATGCAAGATTTCACAGTTCTAGCTGCATCACTCCTTCATAGTCAGCCTATGAACTTTTCAGCCCACCCGTGTACGTTACGGTGGTGGGAAAGTGATTAAAGGAATTGGGTGGGTGGTCTTTTTGTATTCATTTAGATTATAAACAACATTTTGTCATTTGTCTCTGGTTTTCTTTTAGCTGAAATCTTTAAAAGCTGTTTGATCCATTGTTTTGCAAAGTTGGACAAAGAAAAATGCACTCAACAAATGTAATTACGCTTAAAAATATCAGCGTTCATTTTCTTTTCTTTTAATGAAAACAAAACTACTTTTGATGTCAGCTCTTATTTCATGAGATTTCTTCTAATTACAAGTTTCAAATTATTTCGTGTCAAAACAATTTTGATCCAAATTGTACTAATAGCCGGAACTGTTTGCCTGGAAGTAATATTTTATGTGTGTGGGTTTTCGGCTTCATCCTTTCTTCCTCTCTTCCTTGCCGACATTGTTTAGGCATTACTGCAGTTAACTTTGTACCGTCAACACGGTCTCGTCTACATAGATTACGTTGTTAAGATTATGCTCACTGATATTAAATTCTGGTAACATCGGCACTTAAAGCGGAATCTGAGATACGATGCTTTCTTTTACGTATCAATGCCCTTGGAAAAGGCATGTATCTCTCTGCTCCCCCAGCTACGGGTTAAATATCAGAGCAGGCTCAACTTACGTGGCAGCAAGGCTAGTAGAAATGTTATAATGAATTCAAAATGGGTGTGGATAACAGAGGAAAACCGCGACGCTATCGTTCCCAAGAAGTCCTGGCAATTCACAGATTATAAAGAAAGGTAATTTGTGAAGAGCCATGATCGCCTACGTCCTGAAGACAAGTCATTAAAAAAACGGAAATAGTTATGCAGCATTTATTCCGATTAACCACGTTACTTAGAACGATTACTTCAAAACTTAAAAGAACAATAATGTGACAGATGTCTATAAAAAAGCATCGTTAATTATTTTAATTATTTATTTAATTTAAATTTCGTCACGTGGCAATAATTGTAGGTAAAACGATGCAGTAAAATAAGTAACCATTTAATCGTTTTAAGTTTTCTTAATACTGTTGCCTTAAAAAAAGAATAAAATGTTTGATATTTATGACTAGTTCGATAGAGTTTTTATTTATTTTTTTCACTTATATATTTAATCCCAAAATGACATCTGGTGACCTCCAACGACATTATAGGTCGGCACCTCCTATCTTACCATCGTTAGTCACAAATTATCTCCAGGAATATAATTATTTGACTACAGTAGAGACCATAAAAGTCACACACTAATTTTCTTTTCAATGATCACCCGGCAACCTTCGAAATCAAATCTGATTTTATCTGATCTATCATTTGTGAGGTCAATACTTTTTGCACTTCATAGTATCTCCTTCCATTTTTGCTAGAAATTATTAATTTAGCTAGAAATGAAATGCAGCGCTCTTTGATGACTTTTGATGACAGTGAATGATCTTCGAGGTCAATCTACCGTAGCCTGTGTTATTCATTGAGCTTTGCAGTTATACGTGAAAAAAAAAAAAAAAAAAAAAAAAAAAACAAACTCCACCGCCACTTTTCATTTGGCCGTGAACAGGTCCGGTACAAGGATCTTGAGCTTCTCCCTCTGAATCTATGATAGAGCCTGCTCCGAATCTATGTTACCCCCCCAACTCTACTGCATCGTATTTTTCATAAAGTAGGATTCATATAAAATATAAATTTTATTGTAATTTAATCATTTGCAATAATAGATCATAAGTAATATAGGTAAACAATTCAACTAGAAAAATTGAAAATAAATACAATGAGTCTAAATACAAATTAGAGACATGTCATAATAGATCTTCAGTCAGTCAGTTATGTGCCTTTCTTTCGATACATGACTGACAAGGCAGATTTTTTTCCCGCAGTAATTTGTCATTTCTTTCTGCTGTAGGCCAGTTGCCATCCCAGGATATAGAACCCGGTCTGTCCTGCTATTTACCCATTGCTGGAGGGAAAAGAAGAGGATTCATACCTTTACCAAGGGTATTACCACGTAAGTGAATGTAATGGACTCGACTGAAAAGTCAGTCAGTTGTCACACTATTTAGCGGTCGCGTGAAAATGAAAAGCGAGAAATAATTAAAGCGAGAAGAAGCTGATTTCAGCTTCTTCTCGCTTTAATTATTTCTCGCTTTTCATTAAGGCGATAAGAAATTGACCGAGAAAGACATCAGCTGAAGGCCACCCACAGAGAGAAAGGGAGAGAAAGGGAGATAAAAGGAAAAGAATAAACCATTAACTATCTTTCGGAGATATCATTTGGTTTTGGGAAAAAACACCTGTTTTATTGTCCAGACATGAACATGATAAAAGTTAGATACCAGGATAGCTAATTAGCGACAGAATGCGAATACGTCCAGTTAACCACCCACTTGATGCTGTCGGAAATCTCGATTGATAAAGTCCAGGTGACATTCTGTTAAGATAGAGATTAGGGACCACACTACGAGTCGTAGGAGGTCTGCTCGGGGAAGAGAAAGAAAGAAGAAAAAGAAAAAGGAAGATAATTTTTTTTTCCTTTGAGCGATAATTGCAAACACTCACGCTGCTGAGCGTTCATTGGCTGAATGGTGGCGTGAGAGGTAGGCGAAGGTAAACATGTGAGATACCAATATGGGAAAGAAAGAATTTGGAAGGACGATTCCCTTAAAGTAGAAAGTAATGGACTTACAAAAATGGAAAGTAATAAGTTTTCCTGTCCAAAAACAAAGAAAATCCTTATTGTGGGTTTAGAATTATCAAGGAACCTCAAACCCCGACAGGCCCACCCTGGTTTTGGTCGGCGTCCATATAAGCAGAGTCGCAGCGAGTGGACGGCATTGACACAGAAAGCAGTTGGGCAGACGCAGACAGATTTGAGCTGTGAGCTCTGAAACCAGCCTCGCAGGAAGCTGACTGAAAGATATCCACTCATTCTGACTTCGACTTCTAACCAAGAACAATTTATTTTTGAAGAACAACTTAGACTCACACCAGCAAAACCAGTTTTGCGAATATCGCCTGAAGACACCAAAAAACAGTTTCTTAAAAAAAAAAGCAACTTAAGATGTTAAGACTCGCCTAACAAACACAGTGTCACAAATCCATATTAGCGGTTTCGGAGAAAGATGCAGTCCTGTATTCAGCAACCAGATATAAAATATTGTTATTCTTTTTTTAACATATTTGAACTTTTACTTTATTTTCTTTTACATATACTTGTGCGGTGTTACCTTTGCTCAGACTCGGCTTGCATTGCGGCCCGGCGACTGATTGATTTCGTCTACCTAAGATCAAATCACAACGTGGGTAGGTTAGACTAGAAATCAAAGCAGTTACTTCGGTAACCAGACGTTGGAGGCGAGCTGGGAACGACAAAGCTGATACCGAATCTAACCAGATTCCCATCCGAATCAGCAAAGGGTTAGAACGTCACATTTGATGCCGCGACCAATACCAAGTCACATTGGTCGTTACAGAATAGCACGGCGGCGAGCGCGGAGGGACCGGGGTGACGTCACACAGTCACTTATGTGTCATGTGTGATACACGCTTAGGCGATCATGTATCTTTCGATACATGACTGACGGGGCAGATTTTTCCCGCAGTAGGTTGCCATTTCTTTCTGCGGTAGACCAGTTGCCATCGGTCTGTCCTGCTATTTACCCATAGCTAGGAGAGAGGAAGAGGATTCATACTTTTCCCAAGAGTATTAGCACGTAAGTGAATGTAATGGATTCGACTGGAATTCGAACTCGGCTCTCCGATTCTTCAAAATATTAAATAAAATCAACAATATTTTGCGGTAATCTTTAACATCAACTTCAGATTTTTCATATTAAAAAGTTGAATAATCTTAACACATTTAACATTATGGATAAAGAATTAATGAATGTAATAGTGTTTCTTTTTTTTTGTTTTTTTTTCGAGTCTTAGCATAAGCAAAACAAATTCACGGACTTGGACGAAACAAAAAAGGTTGCATAATGTCATCAAAATCCGTGAGTGTTTTTATACTTTTAGTTTTAGTTCAGTTTTACGGTGGAGTAATGAATAGCGACTCGGAATGAGGAATCGGAGAGCCGAGTTCGAATTCCGGTCAAATCCATTACATTCATTTACGTCCTTGGGAAAGGTATGAATCCTCTTCTACCCGAACAGAACAGACCGTGTTCTATAGCCTTGGACGGCAACTGGTCTACTGCAGAAAGAAATGGCAACCTACTGCGGGAAAAAAAATCTGCCTCGTCAGTCCTGTATCGAAAGATACATGATCGCCTAAGCGAGTATCACTCATGAAACTGAATTTATATAAATTTAGGTTGTTGTGTAGAAAGACGACTGACCTTCTCTACACTAATGTTAAACATGGACTCATCATCCGCTATGAGAAGAATAGGAACAGTTGTCGCAAAGTGGGTTGCAAGGTGAAGCGCAAAGTGGATCGCAAGGTGTAGCGTTTGAGTCGTACGCTTTGCTGCACTGAACTACGGTATTCTCGATTACCGTATTATTAATCCGTGTCTCTCATATGATTAAACCTTTTCTTCACACAGCGTTTTGCTTCAGTGTTTCATTACATTATTTTTAATAGATCTATGAGCGTTGTACGAACTTTATAAGTAGAAAAAAAAGCAAATGTTGATACAATAGCGAGGGTCACAAAGCACTGCCCAGAGGCCCTCAATCAGGCTAGCTCCCTTCTGTTGTGTGGTTCGAGGGTACTACGCACCAGTCCTAGCTGTGAGGTCCGAACATGCAAATACAGTGGGATTCATTTCATTAATAATATCTTAATTTTGAATTTATAAAGAAATAACATTTTAAGAGAGTTCGATATGATTTTGCATGTTTCACTGAAATCTGATACAATAATGACCGTGGGGATATCCTCATCTGGCACAATGATGAGGGTTAGGATATCCTCATCTGACACAATTATGACCGTGGGGATATCCGCATTGGACACAATGATGACCGTGGCGATATGCTCATCTGACAAAATAATGATCGTGGGGATATCCACATCGGACACAACGATGGCAGTGGTGATATGCTCATCTGATACCATGATTACCGCAAGGATATCCTCATCTGACACAATGATGACTTTGGCGATATCTTCATCTGGCACAATAATGACCACGGCCATATTCTGATATGACTCAATTTTATCTGCGTCTCCATCCATCCCTGTACAGAAAGACGACGGCGAAGTACTGAATGAATTCTTCTTCTATGACACTTCATGATGTGGGCGGTCATGACACTCCACATCGCCCTACGCTTTGTCGCTCTTAATAATGTTTGTATTTTCTCTCACAACTTACCTTAAAGGTTCATTTTACTCACGTCCAGTCTATGATATTCTTAGTAAACGTCTGTAAGACCACATTCTATTGCCTCAAGTCTCTTCTGTGCGAAGATCGTCCAGTAATCACCGCCATATTCCTAAACTGAAAAGAGTTAATAAATTACTTCCTTAAAGTAATTGATTAATAAATTACTTCCTTAAAGTAATTTATTAATCCGACATATATTTTATATTTTTAAACGTTATTTTTTGTGGATACTCATATTTGAGTAAACGCCACGTTTATTTTAAACGGTATTTTATTTTAGAATTTTTTACTGACCTGGACATTCGAGAAATCTTATTAACGTAAAATGTGCGCTCCGGCAGGACTCAAATCTGCGTCCTCCTTTATAGGAGAAACCGTACTTTGCTCTGACATGCTTTTGACCACTCTGCTACGAAGAGCTTCATAATAAGGCAAAGTTCTAACATTCTGGTGTCTAGCTTGTGGATAGAAAATATGTTTAGAAAATATAAATGAAGAGAAAGACAAGGGTGTGTCATCTCACCGGATTTATTCAACCTTTAGTGTGAGTCAACCCCAAGAGAACTACAAGCTCTAGCAGGATTTAGTATCGGTAGGTACAAGCTTAACGACATAAGATATATAGCGTTTTGATGGCAGAAACTCCTAGACAATGTCGGAAAGGAAATCGGGAAGAAAGGACAAATTATGAATTGTAAAAAAAGAAAAGAAAAAAAAGAATATATGGTTGTTAGGAAGAGTAACGGCCCAAGATGCGAACTGCGATTTGGAGATGCCATATTCAAGCAAAAACAGAAGTTTAAATATCTGGGAAGTTTTGTTAACGGAGAACGAAAAATGCGACACCGAAATCCGATGGCGTATTGGAATAGCGAAGTATGTCTTTCAAAAGCTAAGCAAAGTATTAAGAAACCGGAAAAATTCGTTAGAAACAAAGAAAAGAGTGCTGAACTGTTATGTAATATCAGTTTAGGACTCTTTTCAGTTTAGGAATATGGCGGTGATTACTGGACGATCTTCGCACAGAAGAGACTTGAGGCAATAGAATGTGGTCTTACAGACGTTTACTAAGAATATCATAGACTGGACGTGAGTAAAATGAACCTTTAAGGTAAGTTGTGAGAGAAAATACAAACATTATTAAGAGCGACAAAGCGTAGGGCGATGTGGAGTGTCATGACCGCCCACATCATGAAGTGTCATAGAAGAAGAATTCATTCAGTACTTCGCCGTCGTCTTTCTGTACAGGGATGGATGGAGACGCAGATAAAATTGAGTCATATCAGAATATGGCCGTGGTCATTATTGTGCCAGATGAAGATATCGCCAAAGTCATCATTGTGTCAGATGAGGATATCCTTGCGGTAATCATGGTATCAGATGAGCATATCACCACTGCCATCGTTGTGTCCGATGTGGATATCCCCACGATCATTATTGTGTCAGATGAGCATATCGCCACGGTCATCCTTGTGTCCAATGCGGATATCCCCACAGTCATAATTGTGTCAGATGAGGATATCTTAACCCTCATCATTGTGTCAGATGAGGATATCCCCACGGTCATTATTGTATCAGATGGGGATATCCCCACGGTCACAATTGTGCCAGATGGGGATATCCCCACGGTCATCATTGTGTAAAAGGAAAATCTAATTGATACCAAAATGAAATACGTTTTGAGGACGTGCACATAGTACAATGGTTATCCAAAAAGCAAGTGGAACTGACGAGTCGGGTTCAAATTCAGGGCTAGTCTGTTGCAGCCACTTTCGCACTAATACCCATAGGGGAGGCCTGATTTCATTTGCCCTCATCTTAGCCATGGGATTCATATAGAATAAACATTTATAAGTATATATGGTATTTTTTTTTAAAAGAAAAAGTAATGTAGCTATTTAAAATTGTCAATTTTTTCTTACTTTTATATTTACTACTGTCAAAAATGACGGCAATTGTTGAAAGTTTTTATAGTGAGATACATTGAAACAAAAGGTTTGAGACAAATTGACAAAATTTACTAAGAGCTACGAAGGACAAGACATTGTGGAGAGCCATAATAGCCCTAACCCAGACGGGACACCGCGCAATATAGTAGATGTATATAAGACCTTTTGTATCAAAGACGAGATTCAAAACGACGAAGAACCTGCAGACACTCGTTTAAACCATTCGATATTTATTAAATGACTAGTGTACCCGTACCATAAAAAATGACGGCAATTGTTAGAATGTTTTAATAGCGAGATGCATTGAAAGAAATGTCTGGAAACAATATATTGAGATTCAATCAAACGGAGATAAAGAATTCACATCTAAAATAGATGCTAATGAACCGTTTAATTAATCCGTTCCTTTTATATTTCTTAGAAATTCCATGGTATCTAGGATTCATTGATTACTCCTGATATTATATAAATCGCTTTTTGCTCAATATCTTTTCAAGTTAAAAATTTCATGTGTTTAGCAGTGAAATAGAAATAGCTCTTTGAAGAAAAAGATTAGTAGCAGAACGACAAAGACGGAAACAACAAAATTTGAAGCAAGATAATCACTTAACAAACAAATGTATCTGAGTGCTTCACATGAAAACGTGAAGACTGAAATCTAAGTAACGTAGGAATAAAAGAACAGATTAATTAAAAAGTTCATTTTGATTGGAAACTAATTTTCTCTGAATGCAGATAAATATTTTATCTGTATAGATTATTAAAATGACTAAAGGAAGTAGTCACTCATAAATTCACTCACTTAAGTTGATTTACGTCCCTTCCCACTACAGATGAGACAGAAAATATATAAATACACATTAAAAATAATTATATGGCTTGATTTATTTGTATGTGCGAGTAGTTGTTCGGAATGAGAAATCGCAAGCTGAGTTCGAATTCCAGTCAGGCTTTTTACATTGGGAACCGTATGAATCCATCTTTTCCCCCCGTTTATGGGTTAAATAGTAGCACTTGTATCCGAAAAAGTCAATATTATTCTCAGAAATTCGTTAATGCAATATTCAAGTGCAAAAAATATTCTTACAATTCAAAATATGTTTCGGCTTTAAATAATCCACAATGGGTTGAAAAATAAATCAATCAATTATTTATTTATTGAGAAAAAAATGAAACTATGAATTGGCGATACCAAAATCAAAAAGCAGGAAAAGTTTAAATATCTGGGGAGTGTTTTAACAGAGGACGGAAAATATGGCACCGAAATCCGAACGCGCATTGCAATGACAAAAGATGCTTTCCAAAAGCTAAACAAAGTATTAAGAAACAGGGAAAAATCGTTAGAAGCAAAGCAAAGAATGCTGACTTGATATGTAATGTCAATCGTTCTATATGGCAGTAAATGCTGTACAATTTCCTTACAGATGAAGCGAAAACAAGAGGCTACAGAAATGTAGTTTTATAGAAGGATGCTGAGAATGCCATGGACAGAGCGCATAAACAGCAATGATGTCTTAGGGAAAATGGAAACACAAAAGAAACATATACTCAGAATCGGAAAGAAACAGCTGATATTTCTTTGAGACGTCCATATCAAACAAGTAGAGAAGTATAAAATATCTGGGGAGTGTTTTAACAGAGAGCGGAAAATGTAGCACCGAAATCGGAAGGTGCATTTAAACAACGAAAGATGCCTTCCAAAAGCTAAGCAGAGTATTAAGAAACATGAAAATTTCGTTAGAAACAGCAGTGAATTGTCATGTAATGGCAGTCCTCCTATTAATATCTAGGAAGTGTCTTAACGGAAGAGGGAAAATGCGACATCGAAACCCGAAAGAGAATTGGCACAGCGAAAGATGCCTTCCAAAAGCTAAGCAGATTATTAAGAAACAGGAAAATTTCGTTAGGAACAGCACTGAATTGTCATGTAATATCAATCCTCCTCTTAATATTTAGGAAGTGTCTTAACAGAAGAGGGAAAATGCGACACCGAAACCCGAAAGTGCATTGGCATGGAGAAAGGTGCCTTCCAAAAGCTAAACAGGATATCAACCAACCACCCCACGCGGTCAGATGTGGCACAAAGCCGAATTTAAAGTGGGGTATCTGAGCCCGTAGGCTAGGCCAAAAATGTCCCCGTAGACTCCGTATAAAACGGGGTCGGGTAGCTGTTTCCCGAGACGAGATTCTGTCCTTGGATTTGCCCTCGTCTGGGGATCATCTCTGCACGGAGGCAGAGAGATTGACTAGCACAGCTGGAGACGAATCTCCAATTTCCAAAAGCTAAGCAGAGTATTAAGAAACAGGGAAAAATCATTAGAACCAAAAAAAAAAAAATAAATAAATAAAAATAAAAATAAAAAAGAAGAGTGCTGACTTGATAAGTAATATCAATCCTTCTAGATAGCAGTGAATGCTGGACAATTTCCTTACAGATGAAGAGAAGAAAGGAGACAGCAGAAATGCTGCTCTACAGAAGGATACTGAGAATACTAAGGGCAGAGTGCGTAAAGAAACGAAGAAAATGGAAACAAAAATAGACAGTACTACTCAGAACCAGAAAAAGACAGCTGAAATTTCTTGTCCACGAAGGAGGGCTTGGAGAATTTGACACTCATAGGGCAAAAAGGGTAAAGGAAGACAGCTGGCCATCCACCTGTGAATGGTTAGTTGAACGGGGTTGGAAGAGATTGCGCAAAAAAAAGAAATTCTCTATCACTTCTAGCTCTTAGATAGAAGTGACAGGGAATTGTGGAGAGCCACGATCGTCCACGTCCCGAAGGATCACGGCACATAGAAAAAGAAGCAATCACTTTTGGTACATGCTTTATTTTAGGCTTTTTGACTGATTTGTAGGTCTC